TGTTTTGAAGAAGAGCTCACCGAACCAATAAGAAAAAAAAATATTTGTACTTTATGTGGTAATGTACATGTCAGCTTGAAGAGACGCTGTTACCGTCGTTTCGGAGTTTGACTCTAGTAAGTAACCTGGTGACCAATTAAAAATATTTCATTTTACATTACAGTAACGTATTTAAATTAGTAGATGCAGTGTTAGTTTTCAAACTGAATGTTTTTCTTTTCGAAGAGTTACTACCTTTGCAGAACATGTTATAATTGAATAAGAGAAAAACAACTGGATTTGTAAAACTGTTCAATGGTGCCAATCCAGATAGTACTCTGAACATAATTCCATATTCTAACACCTCATAATACTCAAGCAGTGATGCAGAAAATAATGGAGTCCAACATATCATGTATACTGAAATAAAAACGATTTATATACATATGTATAGCATAACAAAACAAAACCGCCTTCCTGAAACAAAAATATTGATTTTATTTGTCTCTTTTAGTAATCTTGCCTATATAATTATGAATATAACAGACTGTTGTATAAATGAACGAAGACGGCATACCCAGGAAAAACCTTCGGTAGGAAGATTGACAGTCACCCAATTAAGATAGGAGTGGAATACACCTCGATATGAGCAATTTTAACTTTCGACCTTAGCTAGCGACAACTGTTTTACTTATATTTCTATAGGTAATATGTAATTCATTCATTAAATTGTTTCATATATAGACTAGTGACATTACCCATACAATTTCATTTTTAATGCACCCACCTAACATCATACACCATTCGAAAGCATATCATCTGCTTGTTCTTCCCTCAGCGGGATTCGAACTCTTGCTTCTGTGACATCATAGAAACACCACCTGTGCCGTGTCCAGCGCCCTAGACCACTCGACCAACTAGACTACATACAAATATAGCTATCGGTGGTCGATGAAATGCCTTTCCTCGTCGGCCTTATCTAGGGTTGTAACACAGTACATAATAGTGGCAAGAAGATGGTGTACCTTTTAGATCAGCTATTTTGTCTGTCGTAAAGGATGATAATGTTAATTACCAAACTTTAACTTTATTATACACGTCTAAACATGTGACAACTTTATGACGGACATTCTCCATCGGATAACACGTGGTTGTACAGGGCTAACACCACAATATATATATAACTCGTCTCAAATTTAGCCCAATAATGTTAGATTTTCAAATTTGCGTCAGCAAATTTTTGTTCTTCCCTCAGGGCACTGGACATGTGCAGGCGGTGTTGCCACCATGTCACCGAAGCAAGGGTTCGAATTCAGCTGAGGGAAGAACAAAAATTGGCTACCGTTTTAATGTTTGCTGTAATTCCACTTAAATGCTTTTGATATATTCGAGAACTACCAGTAAGTCAGAAGCGGAACTCTTGGAAATGAAACAGGGAAAAAAAAGAATTTCAAAGTGAATGACTATTTTCTGAATGACAGAACAGTCAAAACCATTAAGAACTGAACAAATTCTGCATTTGAATTTTTAGTCTGAATAATCTTTACTACTTCACACAAAAAAAATTAGAAGATTCGAAAAGATCATTTACAATCATAATATATAGAGGCAAATAAAATCAACAAAGGCCAATGATATACAGCAAAAATTGGGTATAATCTCATCATTTTCAAAAGAGATAGGAGTTTTTGCTCCAATAATGGAACCCGTTATGATACTCAATGCAAGTAAAATCTTTGTAATTGAAGTCAAAAGTGAGGAAAGTAATACTGAATTGCGTTTAAGAAAAAGGGAATATGTCCGTGGTCATCTAAGACACAGCATTCCTGAAATTCAACATGTCTGTCATTCGGTATACCGAGAAAAATGATTGTGAAAGAATAATTATGTTGATCAAGTACAGCGATTTCTTATCTCTTATCACTTGCAAGGTCAATGAATTATCTAATTTATTGTATTATAGAGACAATTTTTGAAATAAATAAAACTATCTGTTAAAATAATTCAGCATTATGATAGGTATTTTAGAAAATAAGAGTTTAAAATATCACCGTTTTTACAAAATTACAAAAGGCTGATTGCTGTTCATCATTTAAATGCTGTACAAACGTGCTTATACTTCTAAAATTTCATGCAGCAACGCCATAAACAGTATAAGAAGACACGACCTTGTGCTCTGCCTAGATTAATCTTTTCAGAAAAAAAAACAATTTTTCTTTACACTTCAATCAGCAAACTAATAAATATATTAAGGTGGTACCTAACACTACAGGGAGATAACTCTGTAAAAATCAACTAAACGTTTTAATTACGTTGTATTGTTAATGAAATATTAAGCTTCTCAATGATCAAAATTAGTGTTTGTCAAACTGCTATATAACCAGTGAAATTTTTCTGATAAAGTGGTTGGTTCAAATTTTTTGAAATTTTTATATTTTTGTCAAAGGGTCAAAGTAAACATTTTGTCAAAATTTTATGAAAATTAAACGAGCCAAATTAATATTAGTCAAGGTGTTGGGTACCACCTTAAGTCAGAGAGAAAAGTTGTTTTCCGAATTATTGTCACTTGAACCTATTGTGATGGTTTGGGCTGCTCATCCAATTTCAGAAATGCCTGTACCAAAACGGGAATATGACAGTTGTCGTTCACTTGTGGCGTTGATTGACAGCGTTTATTTTTGTAAGTTTTTCATGTTTTTATTGAATTGATTTTGCTAGTTTTTATAGACTTTACTTTTTTGAATTTGTCTTTAAGTTCGGTATTTGTTTTTTATTTTTTTTTTAAAGGACACATATGAAAGTTGTTAGCTTCGAAAATTATATTTCTGATACAAAACCTGGATATCAAATACCATTTTCTTTTAAAATTCGTATATAAGTACGAGTCATACCTCCACAATACATCAATATTCTGAATAAATTTTGGCAAACGTGTTGTGTTTTTCCAAACCTGTGGATTCATTTATTTTCGTGGAATGAGGAAAAATTATATTTTCATGGAAATTTGATTTCGTGGTTTTGCCAAAGTCTGGATACCTGCTTTTAGAAAATTAGTAGTTTGTTGAAAATTTATATTCGTGGTTGACCTTTACCCATGAAATCAACGAAAATTGGTACCCCACGAAAAAAAAAATGAATCCACAGTATTATTTTTGATTTGAATTTAAAATCATATAGCCTTACCTACTGAAACCACAGACAATTGTTTCAGAGTCCTCATCTTGGCGTTGAAATTTACACGTTCATTTACACCTTAAAAAAAAAAGATTACACTAGATATTTGAAATCGGGTTAAAATTATTACAAGGTGTATCTTCTTTATACAAATTACTACATCTAATTTTTATTTAGTTTCGTGTATACAATTTCGTGTTTTTTTTCAGAAAAAAACTTAAAAGTTATTAAAAATAATTATGATTTTAAAAAGAAACTATGCTGCTCATTTAAATGAAATAATGACTTGTCCTTTTATTCTTAATAATAAAAATGATACAGCAGAAAATGTTTAACCCAAATAAACGTTTTAAAGAACATGCATTGTTCTTATATGAATAACACATTTAAAACTATGAATAAGATTACAGACCAAGGCATCATAACAAAATAACTCAGTGAAATATAGTGCGTGAGACTAGTTAAACTGCACTAGAAAAAGTGACTTAGAATAATCAAGTTTAGGACATGCCGTATGAATAGTACCGTGAGGAAAATTATTTATTAGATTGTAAAGCATTCAATTTGTTACTATGATATATTTCGGACAAAATCCAAATTTTCTTCTCAAAGTACTTTCTGGATGGACATATGGATGAGCCTAAATTTACACAAACATGGGTATAGTTATTAATATAGTTATATCTTATGGTTACGCCATGTTATCTTTTTCCCAAAAGAAGAAATATTTCGAATAATTTTTCGCTATTTTCCACCTTTGAAATGGAGATTTGGGATTTCGTCAATAATATACAAGCCACTCGCATGTTGCAACTGAAAATGCTCTTTTTATCAATTTGATATCATTGTAAAGTCTACTAATAGATTCAAAACGTCTTATGTCAATGTTTGAAATCTGAAGTGAACTCATGGCGTTATACTGTTTGTTGCAAAGGACTAGATTTTTTTATGAGATTTTTATTCATACAAATTAACTTTTACAATAACAAAATATGATTAGCAACTAAAGAGAATAAATATCTCTTGATATTAACTCGTTTTATTTAATTTCAATATAATAATAAACTATAGTTATTTAATTTCAATAAATATTATAAACTTGCAAAAGGCCCGATTATTTAATTAATAATTCTTTTAATGTCATGCTTTGTGCTCATTCTAACATTGGTAGGCATTATATTTGTCATTATCTTTACACCGAGCGTAAGCAAGATGTAAAATGATGACAAATATAATACCTACCATGTTAAAATGAGCATAGACCATGGTATGATAGAATTATTTACGGTTCTAATAGGAACATTTAGAACTTTTGAACTTCGAAGCGGACCTATAGTACGTGTTCAAAAGGCATCCATTTTGATTTGATGAAGCCTAAGAGCTATATATATCAACCGTTTCACGATCAAAGAAATACACAGATACATGTAAACTTACTTTAAGAATGATTTTATTGAAATCTTTAGCTGGCAATACCACCAGCAATGTCCATTTTGATTTCCGGCCTTTTTCAAAAAACACAACTGACGTTGCAATTTCAATTGTGACGTCTATCACGTGCAGCCCATGTTTTATTGGAATTAGAACATTGCTTTGTTTCTAAAGCGAAAGAAGAACGTCATATTAGAACAATATATATTTAAATACTCCAGTTTGTAGCAAGCGTCATCCAAATATCACTCATTAAAAAAGCTATAAATAGTGCACACTCTTACCGTCCTTATTAGACTCTGTTGCCATAAATCCGTACGTCTTTCGTCTGTGGATCGCCATGAAAATCATTATATAACAAGTTATAATGAATATCAACGGTATTATGATGAGGACACACAAATCAAAATATCGAATTACCTACAAAAAGAATAAATTGTTTTAGTTATTGTAAGACATAACGAGTGAATGACTTTAAATTATCCGAATTACATATTTAAAACATAAGATTATATTATGAGGGACTTCGTTGATCACTGATCACGCAATAATGGATCCCATTATACGATATGATAGGTGGCTTTCATTTGAATTGGTTCTTTTTTTAATTTTTATTTATTGTTATCATGCTATCTGAAAGTAATATACAAGGTAGTCATGTATTGAAAGCCTGATGAAGCACTTTTGTATCCCGGGACTTTGATTGATATTTCATGAATATTTTTTTTATTCTAAGCAAAATGCACAAATGAAATTAGAAAATTAAAAAGTCTTTTCTATACATGTATTAAATATTGTTAAATATTGTTGCCGAAATCAAGTGTACATCCTAGATATATTTAGATATATAACACTACACAAACGATTTAGATATGAACATGATGTATGTGATTAATTTAATCCGTGGTTATAAAATTATGAGTTTTAGTATTTCTTACATGTGCATGTCATTGTTTAAATAGTCTTCTTAATATTCATGCAACATATAACATTTTGACCATAACCCTGAAGGAGCATCCATTAGATTTGAACGACAAACAATTGATAAAGTAGCATTGATCAGCACATTGACTCTGAACTAAATGGTGTTTAAAAACAAATCTGTGCAAATATCATAAATTGTTCTTTTGTGAGTAAAGGATTATATCTAAAACTACAAATAGAGGTAAAGATTAAAACATCATGAATCATGACTGGGGGATTGGATATGGGGGCGGTATATTAAGTGCACGAAACGAGTTCAACGGTACAGGAAAAGGTGACATATAATATTATCTTACTTACTGGGTCGTACGGAAATTCGTGACGGCATGCATTCTGGTCTTTATATTCTTGCGGAGAGTAGTATTTCACGTGCACAACATACTGAACCGCAAGTAGCGATCCAAGTATCCACGCAGACAGTGCTAGTCCATATCGATATGTCTTTAATCTAGTGACGGTTGATAATGGTTTCACCATCACGTTCATTCGGTCTATAGATAGAACGACTATGGCATAAGTTGACACATAAAATGAAAACACTGATAGATATCCATACAATACATAGCAGTTAAACTCATTCCAATCAACGTGGAACCAAACATGAATTATTTCCGGCAAAACATGGAAAAGTCCGACACATAAATCTGAAATTCAATTTAATTGATCAACACGGGAAAAAAAAAAACATATTGAAAGTCATAATAATTCTATAGAAATTTTGAAATATTACTGAGAAGAGTTAAATGCATATAACTAATAGTCCCACACGTTACGATAGAATATGAAATGCAGTATGCCCAAGCAATGCAAAGTATAACGAGATTGTGTCACTGCTTACCCTTCCGGAGCACCTGAGATCACCCCCAGTTTTTGGTGGGGTTCTTGTTGCTTAGTCTTAGGTTCTCTATGTTGTGTCATCTGTACTATTATTTGCCTGTTTGTCTTTTTATTTTTGGCCATGGCGTTGTCAGTTTGTTTTCGATCTATGAGTTTGACTGTTCCTCTGGTATCTTTCGTCCCATTTTTACTTGTTTTGACATGTTCGTGTTTTATAGTAATCATATGGTATCTGGTTGTAGAGCCTCATTAACTTACTGCTGATAACATACCTTGTATTTGTATTACTTCTTGGATTGAAAGACGAATGTATGCATGAACATTAAATAATGACTTTAACAGATTGGTGATTGTTGTGATAATTATGGATATTGCTAATGATATCGACTCCAATCCTGGATAACTACTTCCTTAGTCCATTAAAAATGAAGGTTTTATGGATAATATGATAAGAAAAGTTTTAATAATAATTGATATATTCGACAAAAAGTGTATACAAAAAGCAAGCATACTCTAATGATAAAACTAAGCCTGTAATTTATTATAGCTACGAAGAACCAACTGCAACCAATGTATACAATTACAAAAGAGTCTTGAGGACTGTATTCAATTACAAAAGAGTCTTGAGGACTGTATTCAATTACAAAAGAGTCTTGAGGACCATAATTCTATAGGATGTAAAATCCACTCCTCAGGATTGCACTTGTTTATCGGCAAAATATACTATTGCATCCAGTCATGGGTATACTACAACAAATGACATTGGCAGCGTAAACAGTGAAAAATGAAGAAGCATTGATGGAAAAAAAGGCTGAAATATCAGATTCTCAGTCAAGCAGCAAGCTCACCTATAAATAATGACTTTGTCAGAAAATTGGTTTAGTATTAGACGGACGGACGAAAGCTTGACAATTAATCAGAATGTATCAAAACTGTTCAGTTGTGTAATCAGAGTGCATCCCAAGACTTTTGATGATCTTTCCTATTATGGTTACCAGACCATTTCAAGAAACCTGAGGCAATTTCTTCCCTATATTCTTAATACGATACATAGTTTTTCTTGTCGACGCAGCCACACATATTTATGTGATTGCATTACTAAGGACATGGGAAGTCAATGCAAATCTGCTTATAGGCATTCATCAGTCAAGAACGAGGAGAAAATCACAAATCCTCCTTCTCTGCTTTTGTATCAGAACTTAGAATTTAGAACGGAACTATCCTTCTGTAATATTAGATACCCAAAACAGCATAAAACTCCGTTTAAAAAGCGCTTAATAGAAGGCTTGTATAGATGCTACAGTTTACGTCTTTTTAAGATTCATACACTCCTTCTTTGAGCAGTTAAAGCTTGCAAATAGACGTATTGTATTGAACTAAACCAAACCATTCGTCTTAATCACAATTTTTAAAAGAGATTCCAAAATCGTCTTTTGCAATCACTTAAATTCTGCAACAATATCAAAACTTTTTTTCAAAATACCAAGCAAGCTGAACTGAAAGTTCGACAACATTTTTTCTTTAGATGTTGCTTTTATTTCTTAAATTAAAAAAGTAGATACAAATATCTTGTTTTAGATCAGTAATAATCTTACTCTTGACACGTGACACTGTTTACAACAACAAATCAACGAAACTTATATATTTAAATGGCGTTTACATATCTCAAAATTAGGAGCCAAATTCAGAGTAAAATAAAACTGGCAACGCCATTGCCAAAATGAAAAACTACGAAAGACGATATCAGTCCACTAAACACTACAAAAAAACCTCTAGATTTAGTGACAAGAAACTTACTAAAACCTCGACGGTGCTACAAAAATTACCACATTTCATACTTGTGCCTCCCGTTATGCAAAACCAGTAAAGCGTTAGATATCTTACATTTAAGGATAAGGCACCACACGATTTCAGATTAGTCTGTATCTTTTGTTTTATCATATGATTCACTTAAAGTAATACACCATCAGTAAATATAAATTCACAAAACTTTAACTCAGCTGGTACGATATGCACACGCGTATTTGTTTTCATTGCACACTGCACATATTCGTAATAAAAGTGTAGTCATCACAAACTCATCCAACAGGGTTATAAGGACGAATTACTTAAAAATAATCCACTCCTCTAAGTCATGAATGTGCTGACTGTAAGATTCGTGTATATATATATATATATATATATAAACGCCTAAAAAGTGTACACAACAACACCAATAACAAAAAAAGGAACTATAAATGTAATTATTTATAAATATTTCGGATAACAGATATCCTTCATCAGTAAATATGATTGTGATGTTGAATGAATCATATATCAGTCTACTTAGATTAAACTATAACAATCTTGAAATCTACGCAGACTCTGTTGTAACTACTCTACCGTTGTCAAATTTGAAATATTTACAAATTTAGATCGTTCAGTGCTGTTTATTTGGAATTCTTATTGACGCAATCGTTCTTGTAACATCATAACTGTCGTCACCGTTAAAGCTTTAGAATTGTGCTAGTTCATATCGCACATTATTATTTTTATTTAAAGCATATATTTGAACTCTCTTTTGTAATTAGTCATATAACCTATGTCGTGTTTAACACATATTTAGAATTGTGCAAGCGTCTTACCTGATGTTCGGTTTGCTTTTTTTATTGTATAAATTTCAAGATTGTTATAGTTTAATCTAAGTAGACTGATATATGATTCATTCAACATCACAATCATATTTACTGATGAAGGATATCTGTTATCCGAAATATTTATAAATAATTACATTTATAGTTCCTTTTTTTGTTATTGGTGTTGTTGTGTACACTTTTTAGGCGTTTATATAATTTATTTATTGTGTACATGTATCGTTACTCGTAACGATCCAGCGCCCTCGTGGGAAAAATCGTTGACTATTATTCAGACGTTTTATATATATATATATATATATATATCTGAACGAACAAGAGATTCGTTGTTACTGTCTTATACCTTATAAGGCACAGGAGAAGTATTTAAATTTCATTTGTACAATGCCTGGTCGTGATAATTTTGATCGAGTTTTGTTGTACAGGGGATGCATAACAAGAACCGATTACCCCTTTGAAGCATCAATTTTCGCTTCGTTTTGAATTAACGTGATTCTCTCTCATTATCTCTTGTTTGTAAACTTTAGGATGGATTTACAGTTCATAGTTTCTGTATACAGCTATCCCAAGTTCATATTAATTTAGATATTCATATGCCTCTAAACGTTTATTTTGTTTCATCTTCTTGTAAATTGTCATCAGAATTTTATGAGCGAATAAGATTGTTATGTTAGTAAAATTATGGAAGTCGGTAACAAAATTTTATAATTCCAATCAGTAACAACGAATCGGTGATACCAATTTTTGTTTTATTTTCTGAACATGTTTAATAGTATCATCGTTTGAAAGTCTTTTATTCACATTATATTGTGAATGTTTTTTTTCTTTTTCGAGCCTTATTTCTTTGCCATATACAGTCGTCACGGAATAAAGAAATTCCGATCATCATGAAGATTAATTATAAGATTGCTATAATGCATGTTTATTCATATCTTTGATATTTTTATTCGGACAGCAAAAATAAACTACATTTTAGCAATCTTATAATTTGATAAATACAGTACTTGCAACCTTAGGCGTTACTGTTTGACGTGAACTTGACTGATCGGTGAATGATCGGTGACGGATGTTTGACTGATCGATGACTGATCGGTGATCGATGACCCATAGAATCCGTCAGATACGTCAAATTAGCTTCGTGAGAGTTACCGTGACAACGGTCAGCGATCGATCAGTAAAGTAATTATATGCACGGATCGGTCGGATACGTATATAATTAAAATTCTTATGTAAAACGAACTCCACAGTATTTACATGAAATTTTGATAAACGCGGACCTCTACGAAGACACCTTTACTCGTTAATTTGTAATCAACTTGATAGCAATAACACATAAAAAAATATATAAATTACTGTTCACGCATTACATGTTTTACTTCATATTCTCCTATTTTAATAGAGAATGCAATCATTTCTTTATTGTTATGGAAGTTATTGACCGCCATTGGATTTTTGTACTTTTTGTAGTTCAGGATTGGTTGTTTTTCATAAAATTAAAAAGAATATCAGAGAAAATATACTAAAATGTTGTTCGCAATGTATAAACTTACTAATTTTTCTTCTTTTGATAAAAAATATTGCAATGTTATTTGTAACTAGTTATTTAAAAGGCCTCGAGATAAGTTTTTTTTATAAGAATTTTAATAATGTAAGTTGAATAATACTTAAACTTTTGTTTGTGTTGAATACATATACAATAGTTTCTTTATTTTGATAGAGATTATGAACCGCCATTTGATTTCAGTACTTTTTGTACATCAGGATTGGTTGTTTTTCAAAAAATATGCTGAATTTCAGGGAAAAGATACTAAATTTTTGATCGTGTTGCTTAAAAATGCAAATATGTCTTCTTTTTTTATCAGAAATAATGGAACGTCAATTGCAATCAGTCATTATGAATGCCTTTAGATAAGTTATTTTGTATAAAATGAGAATAATTGAAGGATAAATATGCATAAACTTTTGTTTTTGTTGAATGAGAATGCAAGCATTTCTTTATTTTAATGGAAATTATTGACCGCCATTGGATTTTGTACTTTTTGTAGTTCAAGATTGGTTGTTTTTCATAAAATTAAAAGAATATCAAAGAAAATATACTAAAATGGTGTTCGCATTGTTTAAAATTACCAATTTTTCTTTTTATGATAAACAAAATGCAATGTTATTTGTAACTAGTTACTTTGAAGGCCTCGAGATAAGTTTTATTTATAAGAATTTTAATAATGTAAGGAGAATAATACTTAAACATTTGTTTATGCTGAATACATATACAATAATTTCTTTATTATGAGAGAAATCATGAACCGCCATTTGATTTCAGTACTTTTTGTACATCAGGATTGGTGTTTTTCATAAATTATGCTGAATTTGAGGGATAAGATACTAAAATTGTGTTCGCGTTGCTTAAAAATGCAAATATTTCTTCTTTTATATCAGAAATAATGCAATGTCAATTGCAATAATGGGTTGTTTTTCACAAAATTAAATAAATACCAGAGAAAAGATACTTTCGCAGTTTTTAAATTCTAACAAATTACCAATATTTCTTTTTTCTATAATTCAACAATGTTATTTGTAACTAGTTATTTTAAAGGCCTCAACATAAGTTTTTTATAAGAATTATAAGGATAAAAATACTGAAAAATATTGAAAATAATACACAGAAATTGGCAATAAATGATCATGTATTATCATTTTCCAGAGCATTTTCGGAAAAAAAATCACAATCGCGATAAAAATCGTTTTAGCGCTCTTCGGGTATGAAAATATATAACCTAAATAAAAACGAAAATCACCATTCTTTTATAATAGTATTTAAAATCAGTTTTATTTGCATATTTCTTTTCTTTTTAAATTCTTAAAACTTTGCTAAATAATTACTAAAAAAATTGATGATCTTTTGTACTTGAACGTTTCGTATTTTCCGTGGCGCATTTTAATTAAATGAAACGAAACTAAGATTCCGTAATTGTAATACTTCATCATGTGACGTAGTAGAGTTCAATCCGTCAGAAAGGTCTATCGGTCCGATCTGTCAGATCCATCCGATCAGTCAAATATTTTTACTATACGTCTGACGGATTGGTGACGTGAGTTTAACGCAAATTTGACTGATCGGTGACTGATTGATGACCGCTGACTGATCGCTAAAATAGTAACGCCTAAGGTCGCAAGTACTGTTTCAATGAACTTCTCAAAAATGTATAATTCATACATATGTTTATCACATTGTTTTAAACTATACTGTAATATATCATAACTAATTAGGGGCCTCGGTGGCCGAGTGGTCTAAGTAGTCGTACTACTGTATCGCTAGCCAGTCAGCACTGAGGTTCTGAGTTCGAATCTCGCACGGGGCAGGTGCACTCGACTCCAATCTTAATTTACTACGATTGTCAGTTTTTCTACCGAAGGTCGACGGTTATCTCCGTATACCCCGGCTTCCTCCACTAATAAAAACTGACCGCTACGAAATAGCACAATAGTGTGGAAAGTAGCGTTAAACACCAATCAATTAATCAATCAATCATATCTTATTAGATAACTTAACTTCTATATCCCATTTCTAAAATATGATATCAAAAATTAAGTCATCTATGTCAATAGTCCATTTGCCAAATTGTTATTGTTTTCTGTTATACAGACTTTTAACATATATTGCGTCCCTTTTTGATCCCTTTTTAGTTCTATACCAGATAAAGTTTGCATCTGCACACGCAAAGCATGATAAGTTGAATGTGATATATTGGCGTTTTCACCAATTATTTACCAAACTTAACAAAACATTAAATTAAAAAAACCACACATATTACGCATAGATACAGTGCACTTTTCACTAGCTCTTCCCTTTTAATGAAAAAAAAATTAAAAAAACAAAAAATAAATATCAAGATCAGAGACGGGAATTTGCAAATAGACCATCAATTATAATTTATTAAGCAATGTATTATGCTGAAATTAATTGTTTTTTTTTTAATCGTATATGTATATATACTTGCCTGAATAAGCTAAATTAGCGACAAAGAATCCCATTCGTGATTTTTTCTTTCTTTTCATCAATAATCCAATAAGAATCGCATTCAATATAACTATTCCAGTGAACATACTTAAGGAGATCCACTTAAATATGCCATCAAAAATCTACAGTAAAGTTATAAGATATAAAGTATAGAATAGACAGTGAATACTATTCCCTGCTAATATACTAAAGGGGATATTTACTGAAATATTCCTTCAAAAATCAAATGAATATTTATGAAATAAAAAGAACAGAAAAGACAGTAAATACTGTTTCCTGTACTAATTGTGACCATACGTGTACAATTTTTATTTTTTATTTCTTTTACAACTCCATCGACTATTTTTTTATATATTTTTTTTTATCCATTAGAAAAATGCGACTGATTTCTAGTTGTCACTAGCATATAACACATTGCATACCTTTCACTTCAATACTGTTTATAGTTGAGATTAATTAGCAATCTGTAGTTTAAGATACTTGCTGATGAGCGCACACGGTGCTGTGTCATTGACGTATAGCCTACAGCTTCTTCTATTCTTAATAACTGTACCCCATTGTCCCAAAAATATTTATGCACTAAGACAAGCAATCGAGTAAAATATTTGTAAATTGATTGAGATAAGATTACTGTTTGTTCTTTTTGAATATTTAAAATTTGGTGGAACTCGTCATTTGAGAATTATAAGGTTCCAACTTATCAAACAAAGTAGTCTAAAATAGTCCTATTCTTTTAAATTTCCTTTTGGACATAACGCTTGTCAAATATTAATACATCCGTTGCTTTGAAATTGCTGGATTCGAGCATCTTTGGGAAGGTAAATCCCAAAAGCTTTGTTTTCATTTAATAGCTTAATCAACGATTTAAATCCTTATTTTGTTCTGTTGGAGGCCGTACGGTTGTTTTTTTAATATTCGGATGTTAACCTTACAGTATTCCGTTAGCTTTGCGTGGTGGAACTCGCATAGATTGTCGTCAAGCTGTGATATTGAACACTTGCTGGTGCCGTTAATGGATGTTATATAACTACAATTATTCATTTTACATGCCTAACAAAATATCAACCTATTTCAAACTCTAAGAAAGTCAATTGTAAAGAAATAGTTTTATAGACAATTTGTAATAACATAAGCAACACGACGGGTGCCACATGTAGAGCAGGATCTGCTTACCCTTCCGGAGCACCTGAGATCACCCCCAGTTTTTGGTGGGGTTCGTGTTGCTTAGTATTTAGTTTTCTATGTTGTGTCATCTGCACTATTATTTGTCTATTTATCTTTTTATTTTGGCCATGGCGTTGTCAGTTTGTTTTCGATCTAGTAGTTTGACTGTACCTCTGGTATCTTTCGTCCCTCTTTTTTAGTATACATTCATATGTCTATCATGTATTTCAATTATAAAACAGCCTTATATTCACAGTCAAATATGTAGAAACATGATCTCATTCAGAATTTTTTTGAAGCCACAAATTGAGTTAATTCGACTAACCTTAGTTTTGTTTATATTATAAGTTGTGTCATTTGCCATGCTGGTTTCGTTTGCATCCATACGTGTTACATTGTCTCCATTCATGTTTGCTTTGCATGTAAGCTGTTAAAAACGTAAAAGATTAATTAAATATCATTGTTTTGGAACGGAGGTGAGTTCTAAGTGCAATTGTGGATGAATAGCAAAGAAAGAAGATATTTAATACGTCATTGTATGACATAAACTTTCGAAATAGAATAAAGCACATGTGATACGATTGCCAATGAGACACCTATCCACCAGTTGATAATAATTAAGACATATATAGGCCATTGTACAGCCGTCAACAACACGAAGAACAAATAATGCATAGTAAGCTATAAAAGTCCTTGCATGACAAAATGTGAAAAACAGAAAACAACTGCATGATTTTTGGAAAATATAACAAACAAAATACAAAAAAAGCAGATCGCAACTAAGGACAACCCCTGTTTTACATCAGTCTATTTTGAACATAAATATTATATCTGCTTTAAGGTATAAACATATAAAAATGTGTTAAGAGTGGAGTGGAATTATCATTTATATTTAAGATACATATATATGGTTGTTTATATTTTATCATTCAAAGTTGCAAACACTAAGAAGACTTCGATTAACATCCTAAATACGGACATATATAAGTTAATATATCAACATATATAATATAACTATGTTTTGTTTCCTTCTAAAAAAATCAGTATTTGATTTCGTTCATTCTTTTCAGTTCTGACAGAAATATTTTATGTTTTAATTTGAATTGTTCATCATAGCGTTATGTTATTACATATCGAAAATTAAATAATTGCAAAGTAAAAAGTAAAATAACAAAAATACCGAACTCGAAGGAAAACTTAAAGCGGAAAGTTCCTTATCAAATGGCAAATCAAAAGCTCAGACACATCAAAAGAATTGAAAACAAATTTTCCTGACTTGGTACAGGCATTTCCTTATGTAGAACATAGTTGAATAAACTTGGGTTTATAGCTAACTGAAGCTCTCACTTGTATGAAATTCCATTAAATAGATAACAATGTATGAACGAAACAATAAGACATAATAGGAGTTAATGTCAAAAATAAGGGTACAGCAGTCAACATTGTTTTATAATCTTAATCACTATAAAAACAAACAAATATGTCAACAAAGAAAAACAAAATGGCATATAGACAAAGCACATAAGCAAAAATTAAAGACAAGAATACAAAAAATAATGGATTATCTATGATGCAATTTGATTTGAACTGAACAAATTAATTCTTTCCTACTATTAAAAAGTAAAATCAGAAAAATACTGAACTCTGAGGAAAATTCAAAAAGGAAAGTCCCTAATCAAATGGCAAAATCAAAAGCTCAAACACATCAAACGAATGGATAACAACTGTTTTATTCCTGACTTGGTACAGGCATTGTCTTATGTAGAAAATGGTGGATTGAACCTGGTTTTATAGCTAGCTAAACCTCTCACTTGTATGACAGTCGCGTCAAATTCCATTACATTGACAACGATGCGTGAACAAAAACAGACAAAATAGGTAAAAATGTCAAAAAATAAGGGTACAACAGTCAGCATTGTGTTATCATCTTAATCACTATAAAAACAAACAAATGTAACAAAGAAGCACAAAAAGGCATACATCATATTTAGCATCCTCATTTTGCTTTTATATAATACGATTTCATTTATCTATGTAAAATCCACCCATAAAGGATTGAAGGTTCTAAGTACTGGCATAGAAACGCGCGTTTGACGTCACACAGGTAGACATGAAATAATTTTGTCGTTCAAAGTATGACGGTATACATAAATACAGAGTCACGTCAAATGGATATCACAAAAACAGACTTAATAGTAAAAGTAATATCTATAAAATAAAATAGTGTTGTCGTTCAAAGTATGACGGGATACTAAAGTACAGAGTCACGTCAAATGGATATCACAAAAAACAGACTTAATAGTAAAAGTAATATTAATAAAATAAAATAGTTTTGTCGTTCAAAGTATTAAGTGGTACATAAGAATAGAGTCACGTCAAATGGATATCACACAAAAACAGATTTAACAGTAAAAGTAATATTAATAAAGACAAATAAAAGAATACTATAACACGTTATTAAGACGATTAATAACGTCAGTACGCAGAATCTATACTTCAAGACCATCGTGTATTATTTGTGAAGTTGATACGAAATATTTATATATTAACTTTTGATTATTTTTTTTAGAAAAAGGACGATACGTGCTTTGACATACCCCTGATTCATCAACTTTCTGCGCAGACACTGGTGGCGTTTAACAAAGTCTGAGTAGGAGCTGTAAGCTCTTGAATACCGAATAAGTTGGGAAATGTATATCCCATATGTAGGTGAAGTTGGTACATTGCTACTAAGGTGGGGGAAATTGATAATTTTCAAAATCAAAATCGTCTCGTTTGTCATAGATTCTGGTAATGAGATGACTGTGTATGTCAAATTCGAAGTAGAAGTCTAAAAATGAGGCGGAAGAAGCCGTGTCTGTTTTTTCTTTAATTTCTAGTTCTGGGGGATATATCAATGGAACCCAATCAGAAAAGTTCGGATTGTTAATGGAAAGAACATCATCAATATATCTGAAAGTGAAATTAAATAACCTGGCTTCTTTGATCTTCTTGTTTTTGACAAGTGTCTAAAGGAACTCCGATTCATATGAAAATAAGAAGAGGTCAGCAAGGAGAGGGGCACAGTTCGTTCCCATAGGAATGTCGACAATCTGTTGAAAAAGTCTACCTCCAAATTCAACAAATATGTTGTCAATAAGAAACTCCAGCATACGGAGCACTTGTTCCTCTGTGTAGAATGAAGTACCCTTTTGTTCACTAATAACAAAATATGCCTTATGGTATCCCAAAGTAATAAATTTTTAGCGCATGCTAATATTTTTATGTTGAAAAGCATTATGGATTATTTCTTTTAGACAGTTTTTCAATTTCACATTGGGAATGTTGGTATACAAGGTTGAAAAATCAAAAGTTTTGATAGAACCAATTTCAGAAAAAGACCGAGATTTAAAATTATCCGAAAGTTCTTTAGAGTTTTTAAGAATCCACATATGGTTAATACTACTACGCGAGTAAACAGTTTTACAGTATTTCTGAAGACCCTCTTTTACTGCGGACAGACTTTTAGTCAATGTAACGGACAATTCTTTAGTGGATCATGCAGATGAGCCGGCAATGTACCGTTGTTTGTATGGAATTTTGTGAAGTTTAGGTATCCAATACAAACAAGGTAAGTCCTCCGATTTGTAGTTTAATGCAATGTTCATTGAAGCCATGAAGAACTTATGATTCGCCAAAATCTCATCCTTGTCAAATGTAATGTTTTGTATGTGTGATTACCTGAGTGCTCAATTGTTCCTAATTCTTTTACAAGACACTCGTAGTAATACGATTTAAATATAAAAACAATATAATTTGAAGCTTTGTCCGCAGGAACAACAACATACTTATCAGGAAGAGATGATAGACATTTCACAGCCTCTTTGTCTCTGAAAACGGACTTTGGTCGATCATTCACACAGTGTTTCAACTTATGAATGCG